GGGTCCAAGCTGAAGAACTGAATGCTTGCTTTTCACCTTAATACAGGCAAATTTCTTGTTGGTTTAAACCAGGGGTCCTCAAACTAAGGCCCGGGGGACGGATGCGGCCCTCCAAGGTCATTTACCCGGCCCTTGCTCAGGGTCAACCTAAGTCTGAAATGACTTGAAAGCACATCAACAACAACAACAACAACAATCCTATCTCATCAGCCAAAAGCAGGCCCACACTTCCTATTGAAATACTAATAAGTTTATATTTGTTAACATTGTTCTTTGTTAAATAACATTGTTATTTGTTAACATTATTGTATTGTGTATAAGATATGTGCAGTGTGCATAGGAATTCATTCATGTTTTGTTTTTTTCCAAATTATAATCCGGCCCTCCAACAGTTTGAGGGACTGTGACCTGGCCCTCTGTTTAAAAAGTTTAAGGAACCCTGTTCTAGAGGCAACCATCACCCAAGTCAAAAAAGAAGCGCCATTTAAGCCTTGGCAGACCGTGCAAAAAGAATCTGCGAACCCCACCTCCTCCAAGATGAACTGAACCACCTAAACTGGGCTCTACAGGCCAATGGATACTCCACCTCAGACATCAGAAGAGCTGCAAGACTGAGAACAAGCCACGAGAGTAAAGACAAAGATCCACCCAGAGGAAAAGTGTTCTTGCCATACATCAAGGAAACACTGATAGAATCAAGAGTTGGAAGAGACCTCTGGGCCATCCAGCCCAACCCCTGCCAAGAAGCAGGAATATTGCATTCAAAGCACCCCGACAGATGGCCATCCAGCCTCTGTTTAAAAGCCTCCAAAGAAGGAGCCTCCACCACACTCTGGGGCAGAGAGTTCCACTGCTGAACGGCTCTCACAGTCAGGAAGTTCTTCCTAATGTTCAGATGGAATCTCCTCTCTTGTAGTTTGAAGCCATTGTTCCGCGTCCTAGTCTCCAAGGAAGCAGAAAACAAGTTGCTCCCTCCTCCCTGTGGCTTCCTCTCACATATTTATACATGGCTATCATATCTCCTCTCAGCCTTCTCTTCTTCAGGCTAAACATGCCTAGCTTCTTAAGCCGCTCCTCATAGGGCTTGTTCTCCAGACCCTTGATCATTTTAGTCGCCCTCCTCTGGACACATTCCAGCTTGTCAATATCTCTCTTGAATTGTGGTGCCCAGAATTGTACACAATATTCCAGGTGTGGAACCACTGACCGCATAGGGAAGCTGATGAGGAAACACAACATACAAACTATCTACAGACCCACCAAGAAAATCCAACAAATGCTACGTTCAGCAAAGGACAAGAGGGATCCTCTCACTTCTGCAGGAGTCTACCGTACCATGCAGCTGTGGACAAGTCTACATAGGGGCCACCAAATGCAGCACTGCCCAAACACGAATCAAGAAACACAAAGGGCACTGCAGACTACTTCAGAGGAGTCAGCCACAGCAAAGCACCTGATGAACCAACCTGAACATAGCATATTATTTGAGAACACAGAAATGCTGGACCACTCTCACAACCACCATGTCAGACTACACAGAGAAGCCATTGAAATCCACAAGCATGTGGACAATTTCAACAGAAAGGAGGAAACCATGAAAATGAACAAAATCTGGCTATCAGTATTAAAAAAACTATAAAATTAGAACAGCACAACAACAGAGAGGAAACAAACAAGGACATCTAATCACCTCTCAACAAAAGATTGCTCCAGGCACTGCCAGGCAATCAAATGCTAACCAAGGTGGTCAGTTGAAACATTCACACCTAGCTCCAGCAGACAAGAGTCCTTTGTCCCATCCTGGTCATTCCACAGATATATAAACCCCTTTTCCTAGTTCCAACAGACCTCACTACCTCTGAGGATGCTTGCCATAGATGCAGGTGAAATGTCAGGAGAGAATGCCTCTAGAACATGCCATGTAGCCTAAAAAACCCACAACAACCCAGTGATTCTGGCCATGAAAGCCTTTGACAATACTTAAAAACTTGGCATTGTACTAATTTTTCTTTGCCCAGAAGCTGGCCACTTGGAGTGCATCTGGTGTCTGTGTAAGAAGGTCCTCCATTGTGCATGTGGCAGGGCTCAGGCTGCATTGTAGTAAGTGGTCTGTGGTTTGCTCTTCTCCACACTCGCATGTCGTGAACTCCACTTTGTGGCTCATCTCTTAAGGTTAGCTCTGCATCCCGTGGTGCCAGAGCACAGTCTGTTCAGTGCCTTCCAAGTCACCCAATCTTCTGTGTGCCCAGGAGGGAGTTTCTCATCCAGTATCAGCCATGGATTGAGATTCCAGGTTTTAACCTGCCACTTTTGGACTCTTGCTTGTTGAGGTGTTCTTACAAGTATCTCTATAAATCTTAGGAAGCTATTTCTTGATTTAAGGAATTGGCTCGCTGGTTGGTATCCCCTTGGGGAGATAGGGTGGTACATAAATAAAGATTATTATTGTTGTTGTTGTTGTTGTTGTTGTTGTTGTTGTTTATCCAAACAGAGGATGGGCCAGAGATGTAACTGCCTGGGTCTTTTCATTATTGGCTGCTACATCCCAATGGATGTCAGGTGGTGGTGTAATACCAGCTAAAATGGAGGCTCGGGAGGCTCAATGGACCTAAACCTAAGAGAATTGGCTCAATGGCAGGAATTTAAGTTCCTTCAAGCATCTCCATGGATAGGAAGTTGAGGTCTCAATGGGGTCAAACCTGAGGGAATAGACCTGAACCTGAGTGAACTTGTCTTCCCCTAGGAGTGTCCATGGACCTGAACCTAAGAGAATTGGCTCAAGGGTGAGAATCTGTATTCCTTCAAGAGTCTCCATGGATAGGAACTTGAGAGTTCAATGAACTCAAACCCAAGGAAATTGGCTCAGTGGAACTGGATGTTAGGGAACTGGCCCAACCCACTTGAACCTGGGCGAATTTGTCTTTCCTCAGGAGGCTGCATGGATCTGAACCTGAAGGAATTGGCTCAATAGAGCTGAACATTGTCTTCCCTCTGGAGGCTCTATGGACATGAACCTGATGGAATTGGCTCAAATGTGGGGATTTGCATTCCCTCAAGAAAGTCCATGGACAGGAACTTGAGCGCTCAGTGGGCCCAAACCTGAGGGAATGGGCTCAATGGAGCTAGATCTCAGGGAACTGATCCAACCGACGTGAACCTGAGCAAACTTGTCTTCCCTCAGAAAGTTCCATGGACCTGGAACCATAGGAATTAACTCAATGGACCTGGACCTGGGGGAATATGTCTTCCCTCTGGAGGCTCCATGGATCTGAACCTGAAGGAATTGGCTTAGTGGAGGGAATTTTGTTCCTTCAAGAGTCTCAATGGACAGAAACTTGTGGGCTCCATGGACCTGGACCTGAGGGAATTGGCCCAATGAACCTGAACCTGAGGGGATTGGTTCAACTAACCTGAAATTTATATTCCCTCAGGAGGCTCCACAGACCTGAAACAGTGGGAATTGGCCCAATGGAGCTGAACCTGAGGGAATAGGCTCAATGGAGCTGAACTTTGTCTTTCCCCAGGAGACTCTATGGACAGGAACTTGAGGACTTGATGGACCTGAACCTGAGGGAAGTGGCTCAATGGAGCTGAACCTTGCCTTCCCTCAGGAAGCTCCATGGACCTGAACCTGAGGAAATTGGCCCAATGGACCTGAACCTGAGGGAATTCGTTCAACTGGCCTGAAACTTATATTCCCTCAGGAGGCTCCACAGACCTGAAACAGTGGGAATTGGCCCAATGGAGCTGAACCTGAGGGAATAAGCTCAATGGAGCTGAACCTTGTCTTCTCTCAGGAGGCTCTATGGACAGGAACTTGAGGACTTGATGGACCTGAACCTGAGGGAATAGGTTCAATGGAGCTGAACCTTGTCTTCCCTCAGGAGGCTTTATGGACAGGAACTTGAGGACTTGATGGACCTGAACCTGAGGGAAGTGGCTCAATGGAGCTGAACCTTGTCTTCCCTCAGGAAGCTCCATGGACCGGAACCTGAGGGAATTGGCCCAATGAACCTGAACCTGAGGGAATTGGTTCAACTGACCTGAAACTCATATTCCCTCAGGAGGCTCCACAGACTGGAACAGTGGGAATTGGCCCAATGGAGCTGAACCTGATGGAGTAGGCTCAATTGAGCTGAACCTTTCTTCCCTCAGGAAGCTCCATGGACCTGAACCTGAGGGAATTGGCTCAATGGAGCTGAACCTTGTCTTCCCTCAGGAAGCTCCATGGACCTGAACCTGAGGGAATTGGTTCAACTGGCCTGAAACTTATCTTCCCTCAGGAGGCTCCACAGACCCGGAACAGTGGGAATTGGCCCAATGGAGCTGAAACTGAGGGAATTGGCTCAATGGAGCTGAACCTTGTCTTCCCTCAGGAGGCTCCTTGGACCTGAACCTGAGGGAATTGGCCCAATGAACCTGAACCTGAGGGAATTGCTTCAACTGGCCTGAAACTTATCTTCCCTCAGGAGGCTCCACAGACCTGAAACAGTGGGAATTGGCCCAATGGAGCTGAAACTAAGGGAATTGGTTCAATGGAGCTGAACCTTGTCTTCCCTCAGGAGGCTCCATGGACAGGAACTTGAGGGCTCCATGGACCTGAACCTGAGGGAATTGGCTCAATGTTGCTGAACCAGAGGGAAGTTGTCTTCCTTCAGGAGGCTCCATGGAGCCAGACCTGTGGGAATTGGCTCGATGGACAGAGCTCCGAGGTGGTTTGCTTGGAGCAATGGTCTCGCCTTCCCTGCCCATTCCCTCAGGTTCTATGGAGCCTCCCTGAAGAGAGGGCCAGAAAGGTGCTTCTTCCTGCCTCTTGTCAGCTTGGCAGCTGTTGCTGCGGACCAGACTTCTCCGCAGGGAATGGGACCCTGATGACTAAGCAGCAGGAGCCTTATTATGGAAAGGGAAAGGCCGGGCACCAGTTCCCCCCCAGGGCTTCTCTCCCTTCCCTTCATTTCCCTTCCCCGCCCCGCCCCGCCTCCCCTTCCCCGTGCCTTTGATGGCATTGCATTGGCCGCCCAGTCAGGGAGCCTCGAAGAGAAGGAGGAGGAGGAGGAGGGGAAGAAGGAGGGAAGGAGGGGCTCTCCAAAGCAGCAGGGCGACAAGAGCCGGGGGGCCGCCCAGCCCTGCAGGAAAAGCCCCCCATTCCCCTGCAGGGGGTCCCCAAAACAGAGCCTAGCACCCACCCCCCAAAGAGGAGCTCTTTGTGCGAAGCCGAACTTTTCTCTCCCTCGTTGAAGCCGTGGATGCGAAGGGAACCCCGACAAGATGCCTGTCAGGAGGGGGCATGTGGCCCCCCAGAACATCTACTTGGATACAATCATCCGGAAATTCGAAGGGCAAAGTGAGTAAGGCTGCCTCTCTCTTCCTTTCCCTCTCTGCCTTCCTTCCCTCTCTGCCTTTGCTTCCCTTGAAGGTCAGAACTAGCCAGAGTTTGGGGTGTTTTTATAAACCAAACTCGAATCCGAGGGGAGTCTCCATTCTTTCGCCTGCCAATAATAATGATGTCAAATGTGGAGACCGCCTGGGTGCCTGGCAAGATTGCTTGGGAGAGTGATTGGGTTACTTCTTGTTCAAACTTCCGGGCAATTTGGGGTTTCCCACTTCCTCGGAAATGGCCAGACACACACACAACATTATACTAGATTCTTTTCTATATATATAAAGGAAAAATGTCAGTTTTTCCCACATGTACAAACCTAGAACAAAACCTACTGATGTTGTTAGAGCAGCGATTGGGATTTATCAAGGTAATGTATGGGATTAAAGGATGGGGCAGGGGGAGAGAGAAGGATAACTTTCATTAAAAAATCTCTCTCTAAAATAAAAAAGGCTGGTTCCTTGGGGTTTTGTGGAAGAAAAGGGATGATTATTCCAGAAATTTGCTGGCTAGAATGGTGGAAATTAGTGCAAATTAGTTTTGTTTTTTTTGCTTGTTTGTTTGTTTGCTATTTTTGTCAGGCTCTCAACCCCGATATTTTCCACTATTAAAAAATGTGGTGTGTTAGAATCATCCCATAAGGCAAAACTTTCCATTAAGAAGCACATTTATTGTTTTAACTCTATATTCCAGTTTGTATGCGTACCACCCTGGAATCTCCTTTTGGACTAAGATGAAGTTTATATAATTTCCCCCCCTCCCCACCCCCCCCAAGAAAATAGATAAATACTCTAAGTCTTTACACTACAGTAGAAATTAGTAGTCTCTGAGCTGACTAATGTCACTGTGTATCTCCATGAGGAACTGTCTTGCAAAACTCAAATTTATTTATTTATTTATTTACAGCATTTTTATCCCACTCTTTTCAGCCTGAAGGAAACTCAGGCGGTGTATAGTTTGGCAGTAATTACATGCCACAACATGCATACATATATACCAATTAAAAACATTTAATATCACATAATAAAAATCCATATAAAACCACTTTAAACTATTTATTTATTTGTCGTGTCAGGACAACCAGTCAAATTATATTACATTTCTAACAGAACAAAGCAAGCAAACAAGACAAAATACAAAATTTGTGAGTTTGGTAGTCGATTAAATGTCCTTTGACCAGTATCTGGCCACTTGGAGTGCCTCCGGTGTTGCTGCAAGAAGGTCCTTCATTGTGCATGTGGTTGGCTCTGCATCTTGTGGTGCCAGAGCGCAGTCTGTTCAGCGCCTTCCAAGTCGCCCAGTCCTCTGTGTGCTCATTTGGTATCAGCCTTTGGTTGAGGCTCTGGGTTTGAGCCTGCCACTTTTGGACTCTCGCTTGCCGAGGTGTTCCAGCGAGTGTCTCTGTAGATCTTAGAAAACTATTTCTAGACTTAAGTCGTTGATGTGCTGGCTGATACCCAAACAGGGGATGAGCTGGAGATGTCTCTGCCTTGGTCCTTTCACTATTGGCTGCTACTTCCCGGCGGATGTCAGGAAACTTATACTTAAAACTATAATAATCAATGTTTTCCAGTTCAATTCCTTATCTATTTACATCGGCTAAGCCATTCCATGCAAGTTATTTCATCATACTGTGTTTGTCCAATTACGCCGTGTTTTCAAAGGCTTGCTCGAAGAGCCAGGTTTTTACTCTTTTCCAAAAGGTCAGGAGGGAGAGGGCTGATCTAATATCCCTGGGAAGGAAGTTCCATAGCCAAGGGGCCACCACTGAGAAGGCCCTGTCTCTCGTCCCTGCCAAACGTGCCTATGAGAAAGGCGGGATCGAGAGCAGGGCCTCCCCAGACGATCTTAAATTCCTTAATTTTCTTTTTCTTCTTACATAATTTTAAACCTATAAAACCTCAGGCTTTTAAATAATAATAATAGGATTGCACTGAGCAGAAAAAATATAGGCTAAATAAATATTCTGTTAGACCAATTTCTTGTTACTTGAAAGTCCAGATAAAGCTACAATCTAGAGGACTGCTGTTATCATACCTATAGTATGATGGGAATCTCTATGGGATAAGGCAGGCATGGGCAAACTTTGGTCCTCCAAGTGTTTTGGATTTCAGTTCCCACAATTCTTAACAGCCGGTAGTTGAAGTCTGAAACACCTGGAGGGCCAAAGTTTGCCCATTCCTGGGATAACGCATAGGTCTCAAGTTACATTAGTGGAGTGCAAGATATGTATACCTTCTCACTATAACAAACTTCTATATAAGCTGACCTGAGGAAATCTGGATTCCCTCATTGCAAGCTTCACTTGCCAGATTGAGCCTGCTTCAAATTCACCACCAACACCACATTGTTGATACCATAGAGCAGTCAAAGAGAGATATGATGGGACCATCTACACTTTAGTGTTCTCTGCTAAAGAGTGCTGGAGCCTCACTAAACTACATATTCTACAGTTCCATAGCACTGAGCCATAGTTATTAAAATGGAACCAAACTGCATCAATTGCACCCCAAGATTCAAAACTGCACTACTGCAGCAACAGTGGGGGTTGTTCTCTAACACCAAATTTACCCTAATGTAATTCACAGCAATGTTATGAGATTAATAAGGATACAAGTTACAAAATTCCATATGTACTTACATAACTCTCTAAATGCTATTTATCTGAAATACTGCAGCTTCTACTAGCACACTAATCAATTATTTGCATCTCTTCCCAAATGAAATAGATAGACTAAAGGTTTCTTTCTGACAAAGGATGATTGCTTTTTCACATAACCACAATTAAACCTATGGAACACAGGGCCACTGGGAGCGGTTACATCCATTAGCACAAATGACTGCCAAAACAGATTAGACCCACATATAGACCCTATATAGATTGGATTTGTTGTTGACTACAACCGATAACAGCACAAAGGTGAATTATAAAATGTATACAATAACTCTAAATGCATTTAATGCAAAGTTATTATTCGAAATATAAATACAGACAGTCCCCAAGTTACAAACAAGAGAAGTTCTGTAGGTTTGTTCTTAAGTTGAATTTGTATATGTCAGAGCAGATACATTTTTAAATGTAACTCCAGCCAAGTAAGTATATCTATATCTATATCTATATCTATCTTATAGCTGTGGAGAACATAGGGAAGGGTTAAAATCCCTGTGGCCTTTGTTTTTCTGTCTGTGCCCCTGTTCAGATGATTTCACCTCACTTTCTGTCCCTGTGACAAGTGGATTTCGGGGAAAATTGGCTCGTTGTGGAAACAAGGATTGAAGATAAAGGTCCAGCAGAGACACCTTTTCCCTGTGATAACTCTTTCAGGAGTGAATTTCCCCATCCAAGGGGTAGATTTTTCTCACTTCTGTTGTCTTATCCTCATTCTTAACTATTAGTCATTTCTAAGATAAATTTTTGTAACTCAGGCACTGCCTATATATTAAATAACACTATCTTTCCCAGGTTTTGATAATGGAAAAAACAAATGCACGCACACATGTACATGCATTCACACAAAGATACTGTACATAAACCAGACTCACTTCAATCCAATATGTTTTTTCATCAGTTCATGCATGTAAATCATAGATTTATTCTGCAGTCTTCCCTATGTATGTTTTTTCACCATCAAGTTGTCCCATTTAATTTAGAATAATTCCTGTTGAAAAGTTTGCTTGGGTGAATCTAAATGGTTCAAAAATAACTAGTTGCGCTCCTAGTCCCCTTTATGCATTGCTGTTCATTGTTATGAGCCATTAAAGGAGACCTGTTGGATTAAACAGACTCTGGCACAGACTGTGGGAAATATACTTTTTGAACCAGAACTCCCAGAACCCCACAGGCAGCACTACCATACTAAAGGATTCTAGCAGTTGTGCTTGGAAAAAAAAATATTACCCCAAGTTCTGTCTACTAGTGTTTGAATAATACTGTCAAGTGTTGACTGACTTACATGTCAACTCTGCATTTGTAGTAGTTCCCATTTGCATTTGATACTAAGAACAAGCAAGTGTGTTCGTTTGGAAAATGTTCACACCATAAGATGCTTTATTTTACGGCTCTACAGAGAAGTAGCTTCTCTTCCATGGCAATAGTGTTGGTTACTACTTCTTGACTTCCTCAATGCTATATGCTGAAGTTGGAGATGCAGGATTTTACAAATGTGGGAAAACATGAATTCAAAAAATAGCTTTTCCTCCTGAAACAATGCCTTTCTAGGAATATGTAGGACTTCCAGCACTTCATGGTCGAATTCCACTGGTCAACTTTTGCAGATCTGATCAAAGGTTCAAATAGATTAAAATAATTTGTCTAAGATTCACTTAGTCCTCTGGCAGTTGACAGTAGAGTCGCAACAGAGGAACTAGAGATTCCTAGAGAAAACATTTTAAACAAGTCAACAAAAATCAAACCTACAAATGTGGAGACTGGACTGTACGTGCCTATTTAGAAATAAGTCACAGCCAGAAGTCACACAGGTTTAAACACTTTACTCCTTGAATACTGATACATTTCTCTTTGGTCACTGATTGAAGATAAAAGCCAAATGACCTGCACTATATGAAGAAAGGTTGTCTTTCTGTCTCAGTGCCCTGATAAGGTAAAGCCCAGCTTTACCTCCAAGCAGTGGTTAAAGCATTTGAGGCAATAGCAGCAAAGCTTCTAGGAAAACTAGATAGCCCAGATGCTGTGGGTAAGAGGTGATGCTAATGTTTTCATGGGACATAAGTGTGCATCTACACTGTAGAATTAATGCAATTGAAACAACTTTAACTGGCTTCTCTTAATATTATGTAATCTGGGGATTTATGGATTGGTGAAGCATCAGTATTCTTTGTCAGATACAGCTAAATACTTTATAAAATTACAACTCCCATGAGTCCATAGCATTGAAGCATGGCAGTTGAAATACTGCATTCATTGTACAGTGCAGAATCACTCTAAGACATGTGTGGTCAGGTCA